TACACATATAAATAATGAAATATAACACCTGATACCTATTAATCCTTCAGTTAGTGTTACCTATTATTATCACTCAAAGGATACATAAATTTATCCCTATAATTAATGTCACCCATGATTACTGCCACCCTCCATCTCAGTAACAAAGAGTTTCATCTGCTTCCACCCTGCCTGAGTTAAAATCCACCGCTGGGCTTGTTCTTTTCTCTTCACTCTTGAAACTAGCTGATCTTTATTCTCAGGCCTTACCTGGGCCACCAGAAGAGGCATCATTTTCATTCAACAAATTCATTACTCAGTACACATATACTATGTGCCAGGCTGCGTGCTAGGCTCTATGGCTGGATCGAGGTTCATTGGAGAGAAACTTGCCCTTCAGGCTGCCATGCCAAAAGCCCTGACCATCATTACCATCATCATTATAGCTTAGGTACAATAGGAACATTGCTAAATGGTATGTTTTAACTTAAACCTGTTGGCATACCTGTAGCATTTTTCTTCCACCATATTTCCTGTAATTACAATTGTGGCAAATATTTTATCAATTGGAGTATAATCACAGAAATTATCATCAGAACGGTGGATGCTATTTTATACTGAAACTGTAGCAAATATTGTTAATATTTGCTTTAAGCCATCTATCATCAAAATGGACTTACACAGCTAGGTTTAGATAAAATATTAAGAAATACTAATATTAGGGGCAAAGGGCAGCAAGCAGAAAACAGTCCATTTGGAAGTTTGTCATTATTGTAGGAAACTACAAACAGGTATTTCAGGATTCAGTAAGCAATTTTGTGGATGGAAATCTGGGAAGACAATATGTGAATAGTTCATGCTGTCATTGCGGGTTCATTTTATCTCTTGATCTCCCTCGGAATTCTCCCTTTCTTTCCAGAGGAGGTAAGAAGTTCCCCATTATTCATGGCAACCAAAGGTTTGGCTCTGAATGTAATGGAGAAATGTAGAGAGAAAGCATTACTAGACCTGGCCTGTCACTCCATTTCAGATCTCTGCTTCTATATTGTGCCACTGTGGATGGCATGACCAAGTGTGGAATGCAGAGTAACTAAAGATAGTCGAGTTATGCCGAGCGAGGTGGCTTATGCCTATAGTCCCAGCACTTTGGGAGGCCGAGGCAAGCGGATTGCCTGAGGTCAGGAGTTTGAGACCAGCCTGGCAAGCATGGTGAATCCCTGTCTCTACTAAAAATACAAAAATTAGCCAGGCACAGTGGCAGACACCTGTAATCACAGCTACTTGGGAAGCTGAGGCAGGAGAATTGCTTGAAACTAGGAGGCAGAGGTTGCAGTGAGCTGAGATCATGCCGTTACTCGCCAGGGTGACAACAGCGAAGCTCCATCCCAAAAAAAAAAAATTCAAGTTATATATACTGGCTGTGTAGTTGCTTCAAAACATTATAGAATAATCAGAGCCATGGCTAAACTGCACTGTCACTAAGGGCAGAGTGTCAAGCAGGGCACTTAAGGGGCAGTGATAGAATTCTAAATGTATAATTTTATCAAATCTTCTTGTTCTCTATTTATGTACAATCATTTGCTAATGACTATCTTAAAATATACAGGACAGAACTGAATACAGTACTCCAGACATGATCTCTCCAGTACGTAGAACAGCAATCACTGGAGTCAGGATTTAGATCTAATTTAGTTTCCTCTGTTTAGTAGTTGAGTGACTTTCGTCATATTCCTCACAGTCTCTAAGTCTCAGTTCTTTTATCTGTTAAAAAAAATAGATACTAACACTGACTACACAATATTACTATAAAAATTACATAATATGTGGCTACATTAAGTATCTATCCAAGCTTTTTGTAAATTGTAAATTTCATATTATGTTACCTATGTTTTTATTGAAGTTGCTAACTTGTCTGCTCAATGAGGTGAGGCCAACAAAAATCCACTTGATATTCCCTTTCAGATAACATCAAAAGGCTGTTCAATTACTAACATTCCAACCTGACTTTATTATCATCCACCTTACCCGAACAGGTGACGTAATGCATAACAAGACAGAGTTTAAACTCTGGAGTCAAACACATAAGGTTCAGATCCCAGCTACAGGACACTGGGTGGTGCTTACTGATCCAAGCCTCAGGTTTCTCATGTAAAAGATAGTCATACCACTGGTAACAACTTAGGACCTACTAAGTGTTCAATATGTATTAGATAGTATTCATAACTACCTTTCAATCTTAAAAAATTATTTGCCTACATCATGTTGCATATCTATAGTTAATTTGGCAGGAATGCTGTCTCCTAGTGATCATGTTCTTTCCAAAATAGTCATGAGCCCTTGACATGTTTGAGCATGATGGTTACTGAAGCCTAGAATACCTTTTCTTTTTTTTTTTCTTTATTTTTTTTAGCCCAGGCTAGAGTGCAGTGGTGCAATCATGGCTCAGTGCAGCCTTGACCTCCTCCCACCTCAGCCTCCTAGGTAACTGAGAGCACCCAACCATGCCCGGCTAATTTTTTATATTTTTTGTAGAGATGGGGTTTCACCATGTTGCCCAGGTTGGTTTTGAACTCCTGGGCTCAAGTGATTCTCCTGCCTTGGCCTCCCAAAATGCTAGAATTACAGGCTTGAGCCACCAAGCCCGGCCCTAGCCTACACTTAATGAATACAACCACAAAATCGGTTCAATAATTTCCTCTGAGCCCCTCTTGTCCTCCTCTTATAACTCTACAGATGTTGAAGTCCAGCTGACAATCTTTCCTGATTGTTATCATTTGGGGTTATCAACATCGTGTTGCCCTATGTTATTGACTCTGTGCTTCAGAGCACTTTACTGCATCTACACATTCTCAATACCTCCCACTGCTGTGCGTTGTACTAATTTGGGTAGGTGTCTCTTGACAGTCTCTGAATTAGAATTCAAGCTCATAGAACTGAAACAATGTCATTCTTTAATTACCTCAATCCTACCTTGCCTATCATAGGATACCGAATAAATTTATCAACCAACTGAATACGTGAATGAATGACTGTTCTAGAATTTTGTTGGGTTATCTAAATCAATATAACCAAGGTTACATTCTGACATCTTGTCCTTGGCATTTTTCACAAGTTTCAACTCATTCTGGGCTGCCTTCGTCAGTCTATCTTTTAAGTATAGTTTGCATCACATTTTTATTCATTTTTCTCTTCTCTTTTGGTTATATGATTTTTCTTCTTTCTTTTGTACATATATTTTAAATATAATGTCATCTGAGAGCTTTCTGTGCAGCTAAATGTGAATTTCCTTGGTTGCCCGTGTCTTTTCTTTTCAGTTGGAATCATTTGTGATCGTAGAGGTCCATCTTTAGAACTTTCCATTTTTATCAGATAATATGGCCTGTTGAATCTATGCCTGGAATGCATCTGGGATGGGCTATTATTCGTGCTGTTGAGGAGACCCCAGCTGTTAGCACTTAGGGGTTGTGGTCACTACATAATGCTTTCCAGGGCAGTGAAGTCTTCCTGAGGGAAACAGACCCCTGGGTATAATGCCAGCCTGGGAGGGTACAGTTATCACCTGCTCTAGGCTCCTGGCTTTCTGCTAAGGGAGAAGTCCACACCACAGGAAGCTGGAACCACCCTCCTCGAGCCTTGTGCTGGCCTGAACTCATTGCCTGGTCCTCTGGCACATCCCTCTCCCTCCTGCCGACTCTGTCTGTGCAAGTCTCCCTGACAATGTCTTTGCTCTCTCTCCATCTACGTGTGTGTCTGTGGGTCTCTCTGCTGTATCCCTCCTCTGTCCACCCTAGACTGTGGCCCTCTGCCTCCTGTCATTGTTTCCGTCCTTCTCATTTCAACTGTTTAATATTCATACTTTAATTTCTAGGATTTTTCCAAAAATATTTTCCTAACTCTCTTTGCTCTTGTGTTTTCTTCCAGAGTCTCTAGCCATGAAATCATGCCAGCCTTTTTATGAATTCTTGAACAATCTGTTTTCCTACAGTCTAGAGTGCACGTCTGACTATGCCTACTGTTTCCTTTCTTCACTGTATGGATTCCAATGTGACTTGATTTCTCACAAACTTAGTGTAACCTTTACTTCAACAGTAAGCTCTTTCTTGTTGGTTAGAATTAAAAACAGAATAGCAACATTCCCTGTTGCTTCCCCTTTCACACTAAAAGATGAAATTTTCAATAAAGAATGCCAGAGCTCTACTTTCTACAGAATGTCCTAAGAGTTGACAACCTTCCTCACTGTTGCTTCTTGGCCCTGGGCCACTTCATATTCTGGAATAAGATCCTTCCTCTATAACTTCTACTTGGCTGGAAAGTCTGTTTTACATAATCACAATATGATCACTGGTTTCTGCTCCCTTTCTTCAGCACCTGAGTGCTATCTAGACTTAAGATCATGGCTTTGTATAAATTGTATATATTTGTTGAAAAACAAGGGTTACTATATTCTATTCGAGCTGTTTTCTTTGAAAGAAATCTACCTTTTGATGTCTTACTTCAGTCATAAATTTCATACCACCAACTGGAGATATTTACCTTCTGGATTGTGAACTACTTTAGGTCAGCAGCCACGTGATATTCATTGCTGTATTTTCAGAGTCAAGAACAGTCCTGAAACATACTTAATTTGAATCCATAAACTGAACTGATACTTATTTTTAAATTACAAGTTTAATTGACTCTTACCAATGCACTGTGCATAGATATACAAACACTTGAGGCCTTAAGTGAATTTCAAATCTCTTCATCTCTCCTGAAAGTGAGCTAATATTTCTTTCACAAGTTCTCTGCTTTGTTTCTCATGGTACATGATGTAGAATTTTGTTGGATATTTTCTCCCCAGCTTCATATTTTAATTTTTAAAGCTCTTGATCAACTATTAATAGGTCATTATTATTGAGACGCATCAACTAGCCTAGAACAACATTAAGTAATTTATACTCTTATTTTAAATCCTTATATCAACCTTTTCATAAAGATATTAAGTTAACTACATATATTAGAATATTGAGACTGAGGGAGGAGGCGTGGAATCATGGCCACTATGGTTGCTGTTTGCGGTGGTCTAGGGAGGAAGAAGTTGACACACTTGGTAATGGCTGCTGTCAGCCTTACACATCCCGGGATTCACATGGTGCTGTGGCGAAGAGGTTGTTCGCAATATAAACAGGTATCCAGCAATGAGGACCTGCCCGTTCCAATGGAAACCCTTAGAGAGAACCACTTAAGAAGTGTATCTTGTGTGGAAAGCGTGTGGATTATAAGAATGTACAGCTTTTGTCCCAGTTTGTTTCTCCATTTACTGGGTGCATTTATGGAAGGCACATTACAGGTCTTTGTGGGAAGAAACAGAAAGAAATCACAAAAGCAATTAAGAGAGCTCAAATATTGGGGTTTATGCCAGTTACATACAAGGATCCTGCATATCTCAAGGACCCTAAAGTTTGTAATATCAGATATCGGGAATAAATTCTATCATGTTACCACCAATAAACTTACCTTACAATACATGCTTGTATGATGCCAATACTGACTCAAACCAACCTTTGGATAGAAAAGTGTTTCAGGGGTGAGGTAAGGAGTGACACTGCCCCTTCATACCAGTCAGTGTCCATTAAGCACATCGCTTATTTAAAATGTTAACACTCATCACATTTTACATGTTGAATAAAAGTGGTTCTGTGTGATTGTCATTAAAAAAAAAAAAAAGAATATTAAGACTGATAAAGGTAAAATGGCATACTCCAGCCAATGTAGCTAATAAGTATAAGAACGCATTGGGATTAGGTCTGACTGGTTCCAGAGCTTATGTATTTCTTCTTCAACTGTCCACTACCACCAGACTGGCAGGTCAAACAGACACTTGGCATTATATTAGAATACATTCAGACGTCACGAGTTTCTTAGCTTAATTAGAATGAATGACAGATCTTAACTCTGAAAGGGCATATTGCTACTGTGACAAAAGCTATGGTGACTCAAAATACAATTTTTTGGAAGAGCCATGGCTGCAACAGTGGCTCTATGGTGGCTTTAGGAGCATACTGTATGGCTACACACTTTATCCTTGTCATCAGAGATAAACAGAATAAATTACCAGAAGGCAGCTCACTCCATTCTCCCCTGCACCCCACCAAGAAGGTAGGCAAGAATAATTCACTGTTTACTATTCCGACATTGCTTTAACCACCATTGCAGGGCTTTCAGTGCCAAGAATGGTGTCAGACCCCTATTCAAGCATGCTAGAAGGATAATTTTTTATTTTGACATAATTCAACCTAACAATTATTTTTACCTTCTTTCTAATCTACTAACATAAGAAAAACATGATTGTACAGAATCCTGATCTCACCCCGCCACTTGGGGTTGTGTCTAAGTTTCTAGGACATCAATAGTGCCAATATCGAGTTGGACAGCATTATGGTCTATCACTTCTTCCCTGTGCATTGGGCATACCATGCTTGGTGCCATGTCTATTGCCTACCTGGTCCTCTGTCATCCATCCATACAAGTGTCAGCACAGATGTCCCCTGGAGCCCATCAGGTATGGGAGTCTCTGTGGCCACGTTTTGCTATTTTTGGCCACATGGGGTTCATTCTGCTGCTTGCACACTCTTCAGAAAACTCTGTGAGGCTTCCTGGAAGCGTGATGCCAGCATTTCTTCTCTGAGATCTTGTTACTTCCCCAAGCTATACCTGAGACACAGTTACAAAACCCCTCTGCTCTCAGATAGCAAAAATATGTTGGGCTGAGTGTTCCTGTCAGGCTTAGTGTGGAGACGTTCTGCCTTGGGAAACCACCGTGCCTTGGTTGTCTTTAAACCCTGTCAGCTTGTCCCACCAGCCTGAGGAATATTTTTTTTTATCTTAAGGCTCTCGAGGTGGGGGGCTCTAAGGAAGTGGATAGACATTTGCTTTTACCTATAAAGCTCTCCCATCAATTTTTGTATCCTCGCCGTTACCCTGAGGTCTTGGGTTTTTGAAACTCAAAATCCAGGGAAACACTTCTTTTCCTCTGCTCTCTGCTATCACATTTATCTCCTAAGGTAATAAACTGAAATGGTCTAATTGCATGGTTAGGAGGAAAGGGCAAGGGGAAAATGGTTAGAGAGGAGTTGGGGGATAGATGAACGTTTTCGAAATACTCTTCACTCACACTTCGCCTGCTCTGGGGCTGCAGGACCACAAGCAGAAACAGAGTAGGCAGCTCTAGATATCCCTGACCAAGAAAAGTGATGAAAACAGCATTGGTTTGATGGCTGTGCATTGCCTCAATCTTCATAGACAAAAAAGTGCAGTGAAGCGGCAACCAGAGGGAAGGGGCACAAAGGAGAAGGAATTCTCTCTCTACCTACCATGTGTCAGGCTCCAGGATTAGCAGCTTCATTAAATGTTACTTCTTTGATTGTCATGGAGTAGGTGTTACCACATCTACTTCATCTTTCTTCCTTTATCAAAAGTGCTCAAGATCCGAACTTACAGTTTTAAAAACCAGCTATTTCTAAATGCCAAATACCTCTTTCAATCATTTTTATTCAACTCATGTTCATGTCGTGCCTATTGTGTGCAAGGCATAATATGTATTCAGTTCGTAGCACGTGGACGTAAATGAGACAGACAAGGAAGAGAAAAGCTGCCTTCTCCACACTCACAGATGGGCAAGGGCACAGGGAGGGAAGTCAGTGTCCTCATGAGTGCAGAGTGGGGACAAGGGGGTTCAGGGCAAGTGTGACAGGAGTAGGGGCATATGGGGTGGGTTCCAGTCTTGACCCTAAGGGTAATGAAAGCCTCTGAATGTTTTGATTTCAATTTCTAAAACCTCACTCTGGTTACATGCAGAAAACAGATTGGAGAACAAGTGCTTAAAGATGAAGATGAGTCCAGGGGTCATTACAATCATCTAAGCAAGAAGTGATGCTGTTCTGATAAAGAGAAGAGACAGTGGAAAAACATCTGGGAGATCAAACACACAGGATTTAATGCTTGATAGATACAGAGGAGGTGGATGAGGGAGGAGGAGGAGTCCCTTTGGGAATCACTCCTTTGTTACATGCGTCTATTTTCTATAAGTCATGCCTTGGGCTGCATGTAATCAAACAAACAAGCACGAGAAGTCAGTGGCTTACAGTCCAGGAAGGAAATATGATAGATTTATCAAAAACAACTGCTGACCAGGTGTGGTGGCTCACACCTGTAATCCCAACAATTTGGGAGGCTGAGGTGGGTGGATTGCTTGAGCCAGGAATTTGAGGCCAGCGCTGGCAGCGTAATGAGACTCTGTCTATACCAAAAATACAAAAATTAATCAGTCTCATAACCTGGTCTCAAAATAGATAGATAGATAGATAGATAGATAAATTTTAAAACAACAAATTGCTTACATTTATTGACCACTTAAATTCTAAGAACTTTGCATTTATTAACTCATTTGATCCTAGAAGATTGGTACTCAGTTAATATTCATCTTACAAATGAGGAAACTGAGACAGGAGGAAGCAAGGTAACCTAGGCTGGTCTCACTCCACAGTTCACACTGCTTAACTATTATGATGGCAGTATGTTTAAGTTGGCATTGTATAAAACAGGAGAGAAGTTGTTGCAGCTGGAGTGAGAGGTTGAGTGGCAGCTAAGAAACCTTCACAGGATAAGGTGCCCCTGAGTCCACCCTGGCCAAAGAAATCACCATTTCAGCTCACAGGACAATTGGTCTAAGCAACACTTTTCGAGCTGTACAACTGGGACAGATAAAGATACAGTGGTAGGAGACAGAGATTCCCAATTCAATTTACCTCTGATGGCTGTGCATGTTGGGATGAGTCACAGACCTGTGGTAATGAAAGTGCTTAAAGATTAATGAGGCTGACTACAGTAACAGTGAGCCAGGAGCTCAATGTCTAAATCATCTCCTTCACTATTGCTTAAATAATACCAGAGCAAAGATGAGAAGAGGAAAATCATTTAGGTAAATGTGACTGATGAGACGGTAGCTGTCGCATTAGGTCATGTTAGCTAGCGTGCCATCCTAAGGAGTGGAAAATTACAGGAGTAGTGAATAATTTGCATATTCATTTCATTACACTGTGTTAGTTTACTATTTCCTGAACATTAGCAGGCGTTAGCTTTGGCTCTGTAGAACCCAATGGACATTGTAGTGCCATTTGGACGGGATTCAGTTATTTATTAAATTTAACAAATTTCTCCCCTGACAATATTAACAGCAGTGGTGCACAGAAGGAAGGAAAACTAAGATGAAGGTCTTATTCATCCTGGCTTCCTCCTCCATTGACTATTTCATCATCCTTTTGTCTTTGCTGTGGTTTTCTGGACTCTGATGTTCCTTCCTCCTGTTGCCTCTATACCCATTCATTGCCGTCTAGTTCTTAATGCTTTACGGTTCGGCTATTGAAGAACACCAGTGTGCAAAGTGCCAGATGAAATGACTTCTCTTGGAGGTGTTCATTTGGTTTGACATCTCCCACACGCTCTTCACCAGCTCCATGTCTCCTCAGATTCAATTGTCTCCTCAGAAGATGATCCCTGCCCTTCTCTAGAAGGTATCCTCAGGCTTCTGTGGGCCCTGGCACTTCTGCTTTCTCTGGCCCCTTCCTTCACAAACATATTTTTAAATTTTCTTTTACAACCACATGGGTATAAAGACAATTGGTATACAGTATATTAAGCCATTTGTTTCAGCATAAAAGTTTTTACTTTTCTTCAGATTTTAGAATAAATTGAAGCCTTTTCATGGTTCTGTAGTATCCTGGGCCCTAGGCAGTGTGTCTCAGACCCTAGGGCCCAGCCAGCCTTGCCTGCTTCATTTTCTTCAGATCCCTCATCAACTGGACACAGTGATCTCCACTTGTGTGCTACCTGCCCTTCCCTCATAAAGGGGTGAGTCCCATGAGGTCAGGGGATCTGCTGCCTTATTTATGACTCTGTGTCAGCACTTAGAAGAATGCCTGGTATGTTGCCAGGTTTTAATAAACATGTATTGGATGAGTTGATAATGAATGACTTTCTTTTTGAGTTTCTTCTCTTGGCCTCTCTATTTTTTCCCCCTTTTTTGTTCCCTCTTCTTCCATCTTCCCTTTAAATGTAGCCTTCATTTCTCCAGCAACTGTGTAGGCTCACACTTCCTGGACGTTTCACACTGCTCTCTCCTCAGTACCATCTTCTCAACATGTATGAAACCAGCTCACTTCCTTCTCCCTCCCTCCTTGGTGTAGCTATCAGCATTGCTGCTAATATGATTGGTATCTCCATACTAGCAATGCCATTCTCATGTTTGCAGCTGCTCATGCCTGATACAAGAGGCCATCTCAGCATTCCCCTTCCACGTTGTACTGGATCCAACCTGTGCCCAGATTTGCCGGGCCTTCCCTGACCGTTTCAGGTGCATCCGTTTCCTCTCCACATCGCCCACACCTTCAGTAAGTCTTGCTCGTACAAGTGCACTGGCCTCTTAACCAGTCTCTCCAGGTCTCTTGTCTTTCTCTTTCTTATTCCAG